CGATAACAACATTTTCTAAATAAAAAAATCAATAAAGTTTTATTAATCGATGATATTGATGAACAAATGATCGATAAATCAACTTATCTTTCTATATTATTATGAATTATACCGATAACTGAAATTTCCATGAAAACGATGATCGATAACAATATTTCCTTTTGAAAAGTAGATCGATAACAAGGATTTCTGCTGAAAATTGGATCGATAACAACCATTTTTTGTTGAATAGTGGATCGATAGCATGGCATTCTTTTGTAAATACTATCGATAACAAGTTTTTTATTGTAAATAATATCGATAACAAGATTTCCAATAATAACCATTATCGATAACATAGATTTCTGTTGAAAACTAAATCGATAACTATATAGGCTTTTGAAAATTGGATCGATAACAATAGTTCCTATTGAAAAGTGAATTGATAACAATATTTCTTATTAAACATTGAATCGATAAATACATTGTCTCTTGAGAACAGGGTCGATCGGCAATAAAAACAAGGACGATAACAACATTTTATGTTGAAAAGTGAAAAGATAAAAGTGTTTTCAATTGAAATTTGTATCGATAACTCGATTTTCTATCGTAAATTATATCGATTACAACATTTTTAACAAAACCCATTATCGATAACAATGTTTTCTGTTGAAAACTGAATCGATAAGTTTATTTTCTATTCAAAAGTGGATCGATAACAACATTTACTATTCAAACCTTAAACGATAAGTAGAATCTCTATTTAAAAGTGGATTCTCTCAAATAAGTGTGGTTTCTATTCAAAACTTGATCGATAACAACATTTACTATTCAAAACTTAAACGATGAGAAGAATATCTATTGAAAAGTGGATCGATTCTCTCAAAATATGAATCGATAACATGATCTTATGTTGAAAACATAGACGATAAGTAAACCAAACGAATTTTTTTCTATTGAAAATCGAATCGATAACACAGTCGATAGATCGATAATAGGGTTGTCAACAAATTTCATTATCGATAACAATATTTTCTGTTGAAAATTGAACCGATAATAAGGTTTTCTATTTGAAACCATATCGATTATAAGGTTCTGTGCTAAAAACTGAATCGATAAAACGATTTTATGTCGAAAACTGAATCGATAACAAGGTTTTCTATTGCAATATGGGCCGATAACAAGATTTTTAGTGGAAAATATATCGATCTCTATAATTTTGTGTAAAAACCACGAACGATGACTATAAAACTTGATTTGTAAATAAAAATTTGTATAATGAAAAGTTGATCGATAACAAGATGTTCCATTGCAATATGGACCGATAACAAGATTTTTTTAGTATAAAATCGATATAATTTATTTTAAAAAACCATGATCGATTATTATAATTTCTGTTTACAACTTAACAAAGAAGATAATATCGATAACAAATCGAAATTATCTTCGATAACGAAAAAGATAATATCGATAACAAATCGATATTATCTTCGATAACAAAGAAGATAATATCGATAACAACGTTTTTTTATATTATTAATAGTAATATCATCCTTAGAAAAATAATCGATAACAAAGTTTCCAACTAAAAATATTATCGATAACAACGTTTTTATTGTAGAAAATATTATCGACTATGGTAGTATGGAAAACTTGAATTTTTATAGAAAATATTATTGAAAAAATCGTTAATACATTTTTTATCGATAATAAGAATTTTTATCATCCAGCGAAACACTATCGATAACAGTTGTTTCTATTGCAAATATTATCGATAACAATGTATTTTACAGAAAATATTATAGATACAATTTTTTTATTACAGAAAATATTATCGATAAATTTTTTATTACAGAAAATATTATCGACTTTATTATAGAAAATATTATCGATATTAGAGATAAAATATTTGTTCGATAATCGATTATTTGTCCACACAAAATTATCGATAAAAATATTTTCTAGTAATTTTTTTAGCACAATCTTTTGAGATACAATGTATATGGGAATTTTTCATAAAATTTTTTCGATAATTGTTATCGAAATATTTCGATAACTCTCCTAAAGAAAAAATCGATAAAAAATTTTATTTCAAGAAAATAGTCTTTATATCAAAATTACCAACAAAATCGTAAAATTTTGAAAATAAAAGAAAAAACCAACTAAACAAATAGTATTGCCTACCTTGAGGCGTAAGCGAATCGAACCGAAAAACCAAAGCATAACAAAAAGGCGCAAAAAATTACAACACAAGCATATTTGAAGAGATAATGAAAATTGTCACTCGAAGGTAGGTGACTGTTGGTAGGTGTGAGAGTGAGAGTGGGTGGGTGAGAGAATGCAAGAAATGCAAATATGGTTGCACAGAAGATTAATTAAAAAGAAGAAGAAGGAGGAAAGAAAATGAAAGAAAGAAAAATAGAACAGAATTAAAAACCAATGAAAGAACAAGTGCTTAAGTAATAGCTCTGAACAATTGCGGAACCGTGTTCAACCTTGAGGGTTATGTGTCTAAATTCTTTTTTTTTGGTTTGAAATTTGTTTTTGTTGTTTGTAAGCAAAAAATTAGTCACTCACCTCACTACGAGTGAGTATCGGTTTTTTACGTTGCAAAAATGAGGACTTCTTCTTGTGGCTGGTGGTGGTGGTCGAGGTGCCGACACTGCCGGTGGGTGTTAGACAACCGCCAGCACCATGCGAATACGGATATAGGCTTGAGGTTGACGATATTGAGCCGGAGCCCATTTGGTCCGCCGCCAATGAACCGTGCGACAGTGTCGTAGAGGCAATATTGTCTGCTGCGGCGGAGGTGTGGCTGCTAGGCGGCAAAGGCAATGCTAAAGGTTTGAGCGTATGCTGGGAACTGCTGGATGGTGACGATGATGAAATGGCGCCAATGACATTACTCGTGGAGGACGTGGACGAGACGACAACACCAACATCACTCTGAAATTTATTGGTATGATAATGATGATGAGAGGTGGTGGAGGAGGACATTTGTTGTTGTGGTAGATTGTTCCTGCTACTGCAGGCTGGGGGAACACTGCCTATGTGATAGGAACAAATTCTACTGTTACAGCAGGCAGAGGTCGTGGTGGTGGTGCAGGACGATGACGACAACGACGACGACCCCTCATAGTGGCCATGCTGCAGTGGCTGGGCCTGCTGATGGAGGTGGTGGGGATGATGCAGGTGCGTGTGCGGTTGGTGGTAGGGATGGTGTTGTGTCGAGGTAGGTGAATTCAAATTATTGGGTAATGATTTGGTGGTTGGTTGCTGCTGTGGCGCCTGGGTATAAATGGTGGGTGGGGTGCGCCGTGACGACCGTGTAGCCGAGGCAAAGAATTTCGGATGTAACGAACGTACAGGTGAGAGGGGTCTTGCGGGTGGTGGTTTAACATTACTGCCACCACTTGCATGATACTGTGGCAGTGGTGGTGATAGGGATGAGGGCGAGGATAGTGGATAAGCGGTGGTAAGCGTTGATGTAATGGAGGCTAATGTCTGGTGAGGTGAGGTGAGGTGATGGGTCGGCAGCACAAATAGGTGTGAAAGGGTAATTAGTTGGAAATCGGAGGTGAAGGTTTTGGAGGTGATTGAAGGTTAAGGTTGTGTGGGTGAGGGTGGGTTTTTGGTGTGTGTTTGAAATGGTGTATATCAAAAGGCGTTTAGTGGGAAAATGTGTGAAAATAGAAAGAGAAGAGGAGTAGGAGGGAGAAATAGAACATAGATCCCAATAGTATACAAAATGGAGAAAAAATATATAGAGGAGAGAAATAGTTATTACAACAAAATAACAACAACAAATTTAGTTACATTTAGTATTACTTTGAGGTCAACTAGATATATTGTTAGGGGGTTTATAGTTGTTGTTGTACAAGATACAAGATGAGAGTAAGAAAGGGAAAAGGAGGGGGAAAATCTAAGGAGGGCACTACAAAGAATTTAAAATCTTTTTTTATATTTAAAAATTGGAAAAAATCTAAGGCAGTGCATACTTTTAGGCGTATGCACCAAAAATTTTTGATGCATACTTTTAGGGATACAATTTATATTTCATCCAAAAAAGGGAAAAAGGATAAGGAAAATCTAAGGAGGGCACTACAAAGAATTTCAAATCTATTTTTCGTAATTAAAAATTTGAAAAAAAAACTAAGGCAGTGCATACTTTTAGGCGCTCAATTAGAAAATGTATATATTAGTGCATACTTTTAGGGATACAATTTATATTTCATTCATGCATATAATACGATATACCAAAGGGTAAGAGAGGGAGGAAGGTGACTAAAAAAGATCGATTTAAAAATTTTTCAAAAAAAAAAAAAAAATGGAAAAAAATCTAAGTGCATCAATTTAGACTCTAAATTGAAAAATGATTATATAGGTGCATACTTTTAGGCATATGATTTATATTTCATGCATAGAATACAAAGAGGTCAAAGCTGGGGAGGAAGGGTGCCAGGAAAGATTGACTAAACAACTGTTAAAAGTTTTTAAAGGGCCTTAACAAAAGCGTGGATTTTATAAAAATATTTTTTGGAGGCCTTAACAAAGGCGTGGATTTTTTTAAAAATATTTTTTCGAGGATCTAGGCAAGGCGTGGATTTTTTTTAAAAATATTTTTTCGAGGATCTAGGCAAGGCGTGGATTTTTTTTTAAAATATTTTTTCGAGGATCTAGGCAAGGCGTGGATTTTTTATATGTACCAAATATATATACCAAAACATGGTCCGATATGTGCGACAGAAACAAAATCGTTGTGGACAAAAACAAATGTCTAACATAGAGATCTCATGTAGGCAGAATACATTCGAAATTTTTCTAGAGTTACTGGGTGTTGTAGAGGTTGATCTTCTAAATGCCGAAGTTCTCTTGAGATCTCCAAAAAATGCTAGGGCTACAGGCCCATGTGGAGGTCTTTAAAACACAGCAGGTTTTGTGGAGATATCCTATAGACAGAAAACATTCGAAATTCTTCTAGAACTACATAGAAGAACGATCTTGTAGAGGGCAGAAATTCTCTAGAGGTTTCCTAGGACCAACAGGATCTTGTGAGATCTCCAACAAATTCTAGGGCTACAGGGCCTTATGGAGGTCTTCAAAACACAGCAGGTTTTGTGGAGAAATCTTCTAGAGTTACTGGGTATTGTAGATCTTCTAAACGCCGAAGTTCTCTTGAGATCTCCAAAAAATGCTAGGGCTACAGGCCCATGTGGAGGTCTTCAAAACACAGCAGGTTTTGTGGATATATCATATAGACAGAAAACATTCGAAATTCTTCTAGAATTACATGGTCTAGTAGAGGTTGGTCGTCTAAACGCAGAAATTCTCTAGAGGTTTCCTAGGACCAACAGGATCTTGTGGAGTTAATTTCCTAGAAAAGGAAATTAACTGCTACTAATTTTTTATAGAGTCTTTTAGAGGTCTTTTAGAGTATTGAAATGGTTTGTAGAGTTCTCTGGAGCTTTTCTACGGATACGACATTTATAAAATTCGATTCCGATTCAAATATTGCTACCGATATCTTTCACCGAATTCTCGAAAAATCTGCCAATTTGGTTTAAATTTTTTAGGAAATTAGGTGTATGATATTCTGGTAAACAGTGATCCAAATTTGATCAGAATCGGTTCAGATTTTCATAGAGCCCCCATATAGATTTTACACCGATTTTGCTATAAATCTGAAAATTTTTCGATGATTTTTGAGAATTTGGTACACAGATAATTATTTTGGTATTCTTCAAATGTGGTCCAAATTATATAAAAATCGCTTAAAGTTTCTCTATAGCCCCCCATATATATCATACACCGATGTGACTATAAAACCGACATTTTTTCACCGATTTCTTTGAAATTTAGCATACCGTAATTTTGTAACATTAGTAAAATGTATACAAAATTTGATAAAAATCGGTTCGGATTCCACTATAGTCCCCATTTATATCTTATACTTATTTGGCAATAAATCCGAGAATTATATTCCGATCACTACGAAATTTTGTGTATGAGATTTTTTTTTCAGAATTCTTTAAAAGTGTAACAAATTTTCTTAAAAAGTGTAACAAATTTTCTTAAATTACTAAGGTTGTACTAAATTTGATAAAAATCGGTTCAAATTTTACTATAGCCCCCATATATATTTTATACCGATTTTGCGATAAATCCGACAATTATATTTCGATAACTGCGAAATTTTGTATATGCGATTTATTCAGAGTTGTTTAAAAGCGTAAAAAATTTGATTAAAATCGGTTCAGACTTTACTATAGCCCCCATATATATCTTACACCGATTTGCCCATAGATCCGACAATTGTATTCGAATCACTATGAAATTTTGTGTATGAGATTTTTTCGATATTCTTTAAAAGTGTAACAAATTTGATTAAAATCGGTTCAGATTCCACTATAGCCCCCATATGGGCCTATCACCGATTTGCATATAAATCAGACAATTTGACGTCGATTTCTTTGAAATTTAGCACAACGTAATATTTCAACATTGGTAAGGTGTATACTAAATTTTATAAAAATCTGTTCAGATTTGACTATAGCCCCCATATATATCTCAAACCGATTTGGCTATAAATCCGACAATTATATTCCGATCGCTACGAAATTTTGTATATGAGATTTATTCGGAGTTCTTTAAAAGCTGATCGAATTTTATAAAATTCGGTTCAGTTTTTTCTATACCTCCCATATAGATCTATTACCGATTTGCATATAAATCCGACAATTTGACGTCGATTTTATTGATTTTATTTTTATTTTATTTAGCACAGCGTCATATTTTAACAATAGTAAGTTGTATACTAAATTTGATAGAAATAGGTTCAGATTTGACTATAGCCCCCATATGTATCTTACACCGATTTGACTATAGATCAGACAATTATATTCCAATCATTACGAAATTTTGTGTATGAGATTTTTTCGATATTCTTTAAAAGTGTAACAAATTTGGTTGAAATCGATTTAGAATTTACTATAGCCCCCATATGGGCCTATCACCGATTCGCATATAAATTCGACAATTTGATGCCGATTTCTTTGACATTTAGTACAACGTCATATTTTAACATTAGTAAGGTGTATATTAACTTTGATAAAAATCGGTTCAGATTTTACTATAGTTACCATATGGGTCTATCACCGATTTGCATATAAATTCGACAATTTGATGCCGATTTCTTTGAAATTTGGCACAGCGTCCTATTTTAATATTTGTAAATTGTATACAAAATCTGATAAAAATCGGTTCAGATTTGACTATAGCCCCCATATATATCTTACACCGATTTGGCCATAGATCCGATAATTATATTCCGATCGCTATGAAATTTTGTGTATGTGATTTTTTCGGAGTTCTTTAAAAGCTGAACAAATTTGATTAAAATCGGTTCAGATATGACTATATCTCCCATATGGGTCTATCACCGATTCCCATATAAATTCGACAATTTTATGCCGATTTCTTTGAAATTTGGCACAGCGTCCTATTTTAATATTTGTAAATTGTATACAAAATTTGATAGAAATCGGTTCAGATTTTACTATAGCCCCCATAATATCTTACACCGATTCGGGCATAAAACCGATCATTTTGTACCGATCTCTTTGAAATTTGATATGTGGAAGTATTTTGGCAAATCTCTGAGGTGTAGAAAATTTTATGAAATTCCTTTACGATTTCGTAATGGTCCCCATATACACCTTTCAGCGAATTGTCGATAAATCGGACAATTTTACTTCGAATATTGGTAATGGGATCTCTGAGGTATATTTTGATCCATTTCTGTTATCACTGAATGCCATCTATTGCCTATTGTTAGGCGTTGTGACTATAAAAGAAACAATAGTTGACATTTATGACATTTGGGAATTATGAAAATGTTAATTGTCATTTTTCAAATTTAGGCCTAAATATTAATCATTATCCTCCATTAGCAAGAGAGAGAGAGAGTGAGAGAGAGAGATAGATAGAGGAAATGAGAATTTACAAAAATTACCCCCATAAAGAAATATTAGCATACTTTTGGGAGATCTGATTTTATAAGACAATAGATTATAATTATGGACAAGAAATATTTATGTTAAATACACCCACGAATAAAATCTAGAAATACTATTAATAACAAAAACTAACGAAGGAGAAGAATATGAAATGTCAAGAACGAAAAAAAATGAAATGTCAAAAAAGGTCCCGTTAATTTGTTAGCCAAGTCAAATGTCATTGTCATTGTGTCTGTGTTAACAATGACATCAACTTCAATTTATTTTATAATAATGGTGATGATGATTTCATCATTATCTGTTGAGGGAAAGCGTAATAGAAGAGAAGAAGGGGAGGGGGAGAATAAGGAATATGTGTCATAAAATAGAAAAAACTGAAACTGATGACAAAGCTATAAACTACAAACTAGAAACAAGAAAAAACAAATAATGGAAAAAACTAGACAAGTTGTAAAGTAAATGACTGCTCATATTGAGTAGGGGAAACCT